TGGCGCTCTATCCACTCCGGACTGACGCTCTATCCACTCCGGACTGACGCTCTATCCACTCCGGACTGACGCTCTACCCACTCCGGCCCTGTCGCTCTATCCACTCCAGGCTGACGCTCTATCCACTCCGGGCTGACGCTCTATCAACTCCGGGCTGATGCTCTATCCACTCCGGGCTGACGCTCTATCCACTCCGGACTGACGCTCTACCCACTCCGGCCTGACGCTCTATCCACTCCAGGCTGACGCTCTATCCACTCCGGGCTGACGCTCTATCCACTCCTGGCTGACGCTCTATCCACTCCAGGCTGACGCTCTATCCACTCCGGACTGACGCTCTACCCACTCCGGCCTGACGCTCTATCCATTCCAGGCTGACGCTCTATCCACTCCAGGCTGACGCTCTATCCACTTTACCCTGACGCTCTACCCACTCCGGCCTGACGCTCTATCGACCCCAGGCTGACGCTCTATCCACTCCAGGCTGACGCTCTATCCACTTTACCCTGACGCTCTACCCACTCCAGGCTGACGCTCTATCCACTCCGGACTGACGCTCTACCCACTCCGGCCTGACGCTCTATCCATTCCAGGCTGACGCTCTATCCACTCCAGGCTGACGCTCTATCCACTTTACCCTGACGCTCTACCCACTCCGGCCTGACGCTCTATCGACCCCAGGCTGACGCTCTATCCACTCCGGGCTGACGCTCTATCCACTCCGGGCTGACGCTCTATTCACTCCGGGCTGACGCTCTATCCACGCCGGGAAATCTTTGTTACTCGCGATAGAGATGCGATTTGAACTACCCCGTATTTTCCCCAGGAAGATGAGAATGCATTTTGAATGAACTCAGATCACTTAAACGGGGTTACAATGTCCGGCACATTTAGAATGCCCCTCTGTAGTCGTCACCTTTTACTAATTTTAAATATTGTAATATTTCTGTGACAGACACGTGAACCTTTTACGGTCGAGGCAGGAAAAAAACAAAAAAATATAATAGAAGCAATTTATTCTTTTGATTGTATTTAATTTCAGGTTTATATTATGTTTGTTTTTTGTATTTGCATTGTAACACATGGGATCAGTCATGGGTACTTATTTGGTCTCAGAATAGCTACTGGGAAACATGTCAAGAACCAAACAAACACACAAACAGTGAGGTTGGTGTTTTTTTTACCGTTTTGTTATTCTTTGTGGCTGTATAGTCTCACAAAAACACTTTGTCCAGAAACAAATAAATCACATCCGACTTTCGCACGGACCGACGTGCCTATGTCATTCGCATGACCCCTCACTGTATTCAACAAGATATGTTTTGAAAGTTCAAGGAACTGCTTTACCTTCTTCTCAACCTTGCGGTTTAGTTTTTTTGCGGGTACAACATCACAGCTAAATATAGTACCTAGTGCCTTATACAGTGATTTGCCCAAATTCGATTTCTTTCGAGAACTGTATAGTTTGGATTTTTGTCATTGTAAATATATCACTGTAGTAACTATATCACTGATAACTTCCGTGTCTTTGACTGCAACAATTCATCCAACTGTTGACCCGCGCCAGTCATTTTCACAGGGCTCTTGTTCCGCCGTCCAAAGCCACCCAGCAATGCAACTATTATAATCTAAAGAACAAATAAAAACAGTCGCCAACCATGTTCGAGAGCCATGACATTCGTGACCAACTCTTGTTATTCCGGGACAAGTCGAATAGCGACTCGTGCCCCTCTCGTGGCCATTTTGCGACTGGGTTCCGTCTAACCGCAAACAGGCATAGCTAAAAGAATTGACAACTCGTTGCGTAATGATTCACGTATATTTCATCTATATATCGTATATATTCCAGATGCTATTTAAACACATCGGAACTTACAGTATTATACAGTATGGTTAAACACATTTAACTTTATCTTGGGTATATTTATAAATGCAAGACATATGTCAAATCAAAATTATTCCTGAGGGATTCTTTGACCGAAGTACTTGAAGTCATTCTGATTGGTTTGTCGTACATAACGTTCACGAGTCTTACGGAAAGGGGCGAGTGGTGACGAATGGAGCCATGAGTGTCCGACAAACTTGTCCCGAAAAAATGGTGCACACACAAAAACTATTTCGAAGAATTGATTATAAGGTGTCAGTATTGTGTACGATTTAGAGATTGTTTCTTGTTTCACCAATCGTTATTGGATCGGGGTGAACTACAGTAGATCGGTAAATCAGTCAATGTTACAATAGATCCTTCATGTTTACTGTGCACATTTGTTGTACAAGTTTAGCTCCCGAACTAGACATTAGGACAAGGTGCTACAATGGATCCGTCATGTTTACTGTGCACATTTGTTGTACAAGTTTAGCTCCCGAACTAGACATAAGGACAAGGTGCTACAACGGATCCGTCATGTTTACTGTGCACATTTGTTGTACAAGTTTAGCTCCCGAACTAGACATAAGGACAAGGTGCTACAACGGATCCGTCATGTTTACTGTGCACATTTGTTGTACAAGTTTAGCTCCCGAACTAGACATTAGGACAAGGTGCTACAACGGATCCGTCATGTTTACTGTGCACATTTGTTGTACAAGTTTAGCTCTCGAACTAGACATAAGGACAAGGTGCTACAACGGATCCGTCATGTTTACTGTGCACATTTGTTGTACAAGTTTAGCTCCCGAACTAGACATTAGGACAAGGTGCTACAATGGATCCGTCATGTTTTCTGTGCACATTTGTTGTACAAGTTTAGCTCCCGAACTAGACATTAGGACAAGGTGCTACAATGGATCCGTCATGTTTACTGTGCACATTTGTTGTACAAGTTTAGCTCCCGAACTAGACATAAGGACAAGGTGCTACAATGGATCCGTCATGTTTACTGTGCACATTTGTTGTACAAGTTTAGCTCCCGAACTAGACATTAGGACAAGGTGTTACAATGGATCCGTCATGTTTACTGTGCACATTTGTTGTACAAGTTTAGCTCCCGAACTAGACATTAGGACAAGGTGCTACAATGGATCCGTCATGTTTACTGTGCACATTTGTTGTACAAGTTTAGCTCCCGAACTAGACATTAGGACAAGGTGTTACAATGGATCCGTCATATTTACTGTGCTTATTTGTTGTACAAGTTTAGCTCTCGAACTAGACATTAGGACAAGGTGCGTCATACGTAATGGATGGATGTGACCAATAGGTGCAGATGTCACTTGTCCGTTACACCTGTGAATGGTGTTGTCACTTCTCCAATTGTCGCGAGATCCAACTCTCGTGAGATCTATATTGTTGCGGCAATGGTGATTCCTGCTACCTGGGTGTAACAATATGGATCTATTGATGCGTTGTGATTGTTCGTGGTTCGATTGCAATTCATCGACGACAGCTTTAAATATCATCAGTTAACATACTTTTGCTTTCGTTGTGATTAGGAATAACCTTGTTTGAAAAGGGTATTTAGTATTCATTGAGAATATTCCATGCCATCATATTGTGGGAATGTTTGCGGGAATTCCTGCTCACTCACTCACTCACTCACTCACTCACTCACTCACTCACTCAGGTATTCTAGCAACACTCGCAAAATGTGAACGGGTTTGGATGTGCACATCTCATGTTTTAGGAACATAAGTTGAAAACCCCACCAAGAAGCGTATTATACAAACATGCTTTTTCTGGGAAATTGGTAAACTAAAGAACCAGTTAAGTTGGGATAAATACCTTAGTATTAATCAACTTTTTTCTGATATCATTGATTCGGAAATACGCCTAATAGTTCATATAATACAAGAAAGTGGCTTTGTGAAGACCTTTATTTGTAAAATGTGTCTATGACATATCGTATATGAGTTTAATGGGATTATATGGAAAAGTGAAGGTTGATGTGCAGTAGCGGGAGGGGTGGGGGATGGGAAGTGTGTGTGTATGTGTTGGGGGGGGGGGGGGAGGGGGTATTGGGATGCTTAGCTGAAAGGAAAGGAATTTGGAAAAAGGTTTAGCTTCACCTGCTACATTTTTTTCAGTTTTAGTTTATTTCTCAGAACGACCCATCAACGGTGGTACATGAGATATACCTGCTATAGAATACGCATTAACACTGGTCGTTATGAGAACTTATTAGTAGAGCTTGTAAACTACACATGTAATGCAACAGTAGTACATGCCATTAATTATGTAAAGCATCCATTCAAACAACAGTGAGTATGTAAAGCACCCATGTAGACAGCAGAGAGCAATGCCTATAATTAAGTAAGTACCACTCACCAACATGTTTAGCCCCGAGCTAAGCTCCGTCATCTTATGTGTACATGTATAGCCAGATGAGGCACCTTGATGGAAGAATCTTCAATAAATCTCTTAACTCATTCAGAAGATTGAAATGGGGTTTGTAATAAATTTGTCTGTAATGTTTACAATATATTTTCTTTAAGGCTCTGGTGTGTGGCGTGATTATACATCCTACCTTTAATCCTCCAAAGCTTAAAAGAAATTTAAATTAAAAACTAACAAAAAATTAAACGATCATGTAACAAATGTTCTATTTGGGACAACACTTTTTTTTTATTAAAGTACATATTCAAGTATTTTTTGGGTTAAGAAAGTGTTATCCCAAATATAATAATTGTTACTTTTGACCACTTTCTAAGTGGCATTATGTGTTCAAAAACGGACATGATTAAAAAACCGAAGTGGAACCAGGCCCGTCCGACATTTCTCCGTGTCTACAAACATTTACACAGTAGCGATGCCACTGAAGTGTATAATGTACCGGTGTTTCATGTCAGGTAAGTATAGGTGACCACGCAGGTAAACCAGTATATTCACACACTGACAAATACGCATTATAGGTGAAGGCAATATTAATCAACGTTACTTCACCGACTTGCACACAATGGCAAGACAGACGAACACGTGTAATATCATAACTCATAATTTACGTTGACCAAAACACTGTTGCCTATAAAGCGACGAGCATTACCCACTAGATGACAGTAGAGACCCACCTCTCACGGGATCTTTACGAGAGTTAAACTGGTGGCTCGTGATTTATATTTCGACGTCACGTCGCCCATACCCCCAGGCCTGTCTTCCAAGCTGATCGCTCTGAAGAGTCGTCACTTACTCCCCGACTCGGAATAAAGTCGGACTGTCCCCAAAACCAGGGACACCTGTCGGATATTCTTTGTGGAACAGACTAGCAAGATGGGTGTGTGGCAAGGTTTCTTGACGCTCCTTGTCCCCCTAGTTTTCGGGGCTTTACCCCCCTCCTCCCCTGCACTTCCAGGGTAAGTCCAAGTTTGTTTTTGCCTCCGTAAAAGGGTTAAACTGTCGCTTTGCTTAAAGGCATGTCATCCATCTTCTTGGGTCATAGGTAAAGTTTAGTTTTGTGAATTATGTTCATTTCATTTTCTTCAGTTACGGCTAATTTTCAACATATATGTGTGTATTTATTAATATGTCCATAGTAGAAAAACGTGGCTATAATTTACAATATGAAGATATGTGTGTGCGTGCGTGCGGAGAATGTCATGTAGGATTTACATTCTTGTAAACACACTCAGAAGCAGGGAACGTTTAATAAATGACTAGTATAACTACTTTTCCTCATGAAAGGAACAGTAAATCCCACTTGATGTATGACGGTCTTCGAAGTGACATTTTAAAACCATTGTTTCGGGACAATAAGAACTGCTATTTGCAGTATGAACTTTTGACAGCCTCAACCGAATATAAAAACAATCCCAACGCGCAATTAATGTTGTTGAAAGCTGACATCTTTATTTCTAGAAAGAGGGATGCATTAAACACTTAGATGACACACGTTTAAGGATAATTGACAAATCTATGTTTCATAAGTAATTTAAAACGTTTTCACACTCTTCAATATGTAGAATAATTAAACATTAAAAATATTTACATTTAAAATGTAAGAAAACTGAGAACAGATAACCAGAAAAATGTCAAAAGATTTTTTTAAGAATCATGAAACATATTTTTCATGATTTACATATGTGTATTTATTTACACATTCACCTGACTCCCGTGTGAACTAGCCAAGCCTGTTAGTAGCGACCATCACTGGCTGCCACTTGACAGCCAGTGTGACATAACACCTTGAGGTTGACGCGCATGACGTCATACGCTCAGCTTCAAGGACAAAATGTCCATGTAAAGGATGTATCAAACTTTTAGCCGTATTTCACAAATCTAGCTTGATCACAAAGACTGGACAGGATGAAAAGAACGTCTGACCTCCGTCAATGTTGACCCACATGCCGTGGTCGTGCCTATCAACATTGGAGGGCAGTGGTAATTAGTTTACCCTTAGGATAAAACATATTTGTCATGTCCTTCATACGTAATTCGAGGAAGGGTCGACAGGTTTCGTGAGATAGAGAAATGTTCACTATCTCGTATCATAACAGTCTTCTGTTTATTTGTATCTTCAGCATGTTTCTTTGAAATGTGCATTACCTGTACGATTTGTTGCAATTAGTTTCAAACACCTGCCGTACGATCTTACACGTCGTTTAAAGGCGAAGATGTTGTTTTCGGCCAGATTTAACTACATATTTCTTAGTAAGGATTAGATACATGGATGAACAACTTCTTTCATATCTGCATTATGGTAATGTTAAAGGTCAGTCTTCCCACTAGAATAGGGAACAGTTCCACATCCTCCATCCAACTGTTGGTCATATCTGCATTATGGTAATGTTAAAGGTCAGTCTTCCCACAAGAATAGGGAACAGTTCCACATCCTCCATCTATCTGTTGGTCATATCTGCATTATGGTAATGTTAAAGGTCAGTCTTCCAACTAGAAGAGGGAACAAAGTGTGAAGTCCATTACAGGTGCATCAAGTTGTGATATTGCTGAACTATTAATAACATCGACGTTAAAGTATACCCAAGAACGTGTATTTAATGGGGCACAGGTGGACCAGTAATCTTAGACGCTAACGATTTTGTTTTCGACCAGATTTAACTACATATAGAAGTTTAGCGAATGTTTGAAATGATAAAATGATGCTATTTTCATTCAAGTTTGTTAGGAGAGGGGCGAGAACGAATGTGTAGGAGAACAATACAATTAATTTTTCCGTTGTTTAATTACGGCTATTCTCAGGAATATCTAGGAATGCACTGTTTACTTCACATTACTCAGCCTCTTTATGAGTTCACTTCTATTTTTAACAACTTGTAAAACTTTAGTGTACTATTGACTTCATAGATATTTAAATGATGCATGATTTAATCCTGACTAAGGAGACACGGGTGGCCCAGTGGTGTAAGGTGATTCTATCAGTTGGTTCGAATCCAAGATTCATTCCGTTTATGACTAGGTCTACCTGCACAATCCCCGTGCTGTCACCTACGTGGTACACGTCTCAAATCGGCATCCTTTCGGGGTTGTCTCCTACGTCCTGCTGAGATGAGGTGATACAACCGAAATATTATTCAAAATGGCGTTAAACCAAACTCGTTTACTTATTATTCGTCTTAAGGGTCAATAAATCCACTTATACAACTGTACGTACTTTATGTATGTATCAGCTAGTGCTCAGGGTCGAATGGATAAATTCGAATACATTAAACTAAAGGTCTAAGGTTAAACTTAACTTTCGTTACCATGGCAACAGACATCGCCTTCTGACAAGCGAAATATTTATTCATGGCCCGCCCAAATTCGTTTTATTACTTTCTTGCACTTTAAACACCATTAAACAACTACATTATAAAGGACAGGTATAAATATAGAAAGCCAAAGGAAGACAGTCCTGAATATGGAAACGAGGCTATTTAAGTGTTGGGTAAATGAAAATGATCCACAACGAGGCTTGTCCGTCCACGGTATCAGTTGTGACGGGAGGTAGGCGCTTGAATGTACAGCGTGCATTTTGCTACTTTCCTTTTCTTGTGAAAAAAGGTATGACCATTAAATGTCTTTAGTAATAAACTGTTGTTAAACAATGGTCCTGATATCAGTTCCTCGAAGCCTGACGAAGGAATGAGCTAATTCAGATGTATAGTCCAGAGAACTATCCTCCATTTTAAAGTAACATTAACAATATATTCATTATCTTAGTGTTATACGTCAGTCATTCTACAAGATTAAGGTAAAGTGTGTGACGCCAATCACTGGGGTATCAAGCTAGGATAGGGCTCAGCAATGGCTAAACGTTAAACTATACCCACTAACTTACATTGATGGGGAACAGGTGGTCATGGTGTCTAAGACGCCTCAGTTTGCTGAGTAGAGTTGCGTCCCTTAGCTGCTCCAGGATCCGATGATCGTTGGTTCGACCCCCACATACGCCTGGATTGGTTTGTTAGCACCGTGGCCGTCCTGGTGGGTTTTACCTAGGCGGTATAGCCAAGTTCTCAAAATAACTTCGCCTGACACCTATTTCGAGGCCTCGTGGTCTAAATCTCCTTGGGGTCTAAATCTTCTTGGGGGTCGCGGGTTCAAAACCAATATGACCCCATGTTGGTCACCACCATGTCTTTTCTAAGGTTAAGCGGTAAATGTCGTTGATTTTCGTAACTTCCTCTTTCTTCCATGACACAATGGATTGTTATTGAAATGCTATACAACGGGTGTAGATGGACCTAGAACACACATACGCAAACTCTGGTGATCGACGTAATTTGAATCAAGTTGAGTCACGGTAAGACTGGAGTCTCTTGTCTACAAGGAGGACGTATGACTTGAATGAGGCCCGATGACGCTGGAATGTTGGCAGGCACTGGTACCGTATTTCCCCTTAATCAATAATCGTCACTGTTGATTGGAGCGGTAGTCTTGTGGCCTTACGGTGGCTTCACGAGGGCTTCATGGTGGCCTCCTGGTGGCCTCAGTTGTGACCTTAACGGCGTCCTTACAATCCTTGTCGATGCTATTGATAGAGATTGTGTATGTTTTGTGGCCGCTCTTAGTACAGTTACATCACTGCGGATACCAAGAATGGTCTTTCCTTATCCCACGTGTGGGCGAAAGCTTTCTCCGACCCACCAGCTGTTCCTAACCAACAGGGGGCAAGGGTGGCCCAGTCGTCTCAGGCGCCGCAATTCGCTGTGCAGAGTTGCGTCCCTTGACCACGCCAGAAAACTATGATTGTGGGTTCGAATCCCGGTTCGCGCCGATTATGTTTATATATTTGTCAGCACCATACCCGTGCCCGTGGGTTTCACCGAATTGGTAAACGTCTGAGACCTGCATCACTTCGGGCTTTCCTCCCACATTAAGCTGACACGCCGTGATATAACTTGAATTCTGTTAAAAGCGGCGTTTAACCTAACTCACTCACTCCTAACCAGCATTGTAATGAAATGATTATTCGGCTGGACAAAGGTATAAGTGTCAACACTAATATAGTCCAGATGACAGAGATTCTTAAAGCCAGAAATTCATAGAAATTGTTTGAGATACTGTTTAATATAAGTGTGATGAATAACACCACTGTATCACATTTAGCAGAAATTCTGCATCGTGAACTTGAATCAGTACTCGTAATGTTTGTTTGTTTGTTGTTTAACGCCGCACTCAGCAATATTACAGCTATGTGACGGCGGTCTGTAAATATTCAAGTCTGGACCAGACAATCCAGTCATTGACATCATGAGCATCGATCCACGCAATTGGGATCGATGACATGCATCAACCAAGTCAGCGAGTCTGACCACCCGATCCCTTTAGTCACCTTTTACGAAACGCATATTCACCTTTAACGGCAAGCATGGGTTCCTGAAGACCTATTCTACCCCGGATCTTCACGAGTCAGTACTAGTAATAAGGTGAATTAGTGTTAGTGTCCATTAACGTCAGTGAGTGAATTTTAACTCCTCTTTGAGTAGTTTCAACACAGTGTGCCAGTTTCATCAGTGTGCCAGTTTCATCAAAGCACGAGCACGGGTGACAGACCAGTGACCATACAGTATACGCATCCTGTCACGACAAAGGGACGCAACTTCACGATGTGGCATCTTAGGCCAACGGGGCTATCGACGAGAGCGTGCTCTCTCTCTCTCTCTCTCTCTCTCTCTCTCTCTCTCTCTCTCTCTCTCTCTCTCTCTCTCTCTCTCGATTGATAAGTTAACATTTCATTATCATTTTCTCCTCAAACATTTGTTGATTTGTTGACTTTAAATTTAATTCAATCAAGCACAATATTTTCAACATCATACATTTGTCTTTGGGTTACATACAACCCTTTAAAATGTTTTATTACCACGTCACCATGGCAGGAAATGTGTTCATGTTTTTTTCTGTTTCACGGCATGAC